CATGTTTGGCTTCTGAAGCTTATGGAATGTGCTGTTTTGAGGGGGCCTGAGCACCTGTGTGTGGCTCTGTTAACTCTGGATGAAAAGTCAGAGGGTTTTCTGGGCAGATGTCATTGTGGGGCTGGCATTCTCAAGGCGCTGTTAACTGAATCTGCAGCTGTGCCGACAGCACTGCCCCAGCAGGACCCTGGGCTGTGTGTGCAAGCCCCGGTTCCGCTGTGGCCTAGACTGTACTGCCTCCTTGCTGTGGCACAGCGGTCACACCGGCCCCTAGATGAGCCTGTGGGTGCACCGAGAAGCCCTGTAGGCCACGGGGAAGCAAGTGTTCCGGAAGGGAGTCGTGCGTTTTGGGATCCCAGGCTCAGAAGGGCGGAGGACCTTGTGCTCCGGTGCTGCTGTCGGGTTTTGGGGAATCTTTTCTTCTTGCACTGGATCCCCTCAACCTCTCCAACGTGAAATCGACGCCCCACTCATGCTCAGCAACGAAATCGGAGTTCTCCAGGGACGCACTCAGGGAGCTTTGGCAGGACCTGCTTAACTACGATGATACGAATTTGGGAGCATATTGTGAAACCCGGTCTGCCGTTAACAACAGAATGTCTAGGTAGATTTCCGTGAAGGAATTGAAAGCCATCATCATGTTTAACTAGATTTGGAAGAATTTTCATTTTGAAAGGCACTGTCAGAGACATGTACCTACTTTATCAGTCCCTTCAGCTGCCTGATCTTGATGGAGACTGGGAAGCGGAACCAAGAGATCCAGAGGGTCTGTAGAAGTGAGTTGGTGGACTGGGTTTTTGGGAAGCGGAACCAAGAGATCCAGAGGGTCTGTAGAACTGAGTTGGTGGACTGGGTTTTTGTGCTGTATAACCTCAGGGCGGCTTGGTGGAGAGCCTCCTGATGGCGGCGAGGAGCTGGGGACATCGTTGAGCACAGTTAATCCGCCCAGATTTTAGACTGCGCTCGATGAGGGGAACCCTCCCCTTCCCCTGCCCTTGATACCCGAGCAAGGAGTTGTAAAATGTGCCATTTTTCCTTTCTGTTCTCGTTTCTTCAGAAATCTCACATTCTCAGTGACATCTCCACAGAGCAGATCTTCCACACCCGTCCTCTGTGGGAACCAAGTGTCTTCCCAAGCCTCATTCATCTTGGGAAATGCACCGAATTGCCCGACCCCACACGTTTCAGGCCTAGATCACAGCCCTCACTGCAAGCAAATAAAATTTAAGGTTAATGTTTCTGCTCTTCGGTTGGGGTTTGGCCTGTGACTCCCATACTTATCTTTTGGGAGAAGGCAATGTTTCTTCTTGTGAGGTTTGGCTTCAGGGCACTGTTCGTCCTTTTTGAGTAGATAGGGCTTTCCTGTCGACCTTGGACTTCACAGAGGTTTACCTCCCAGCGTCAGTCGGAGGGCAGTGATTGTTCCCTGCTCGGGTTAGTGTGCAAGTGGGTACTGGGAAAGGCAAGAGCCGCTCTCAGAGGCCTGCAGACTCCCACCAAGTGTTTCTGTGCACATTCTCTCTGGCCGGGCCTCACTGCCACCTTGGGACATCAGAGTTCCATCGTGTTCTACAAACAAGCAGCCTGAGTCTCCAGAACAGCCCATCCAAGGTCATTCCACAAGGAGGGTCTAGACCGCCATCTCCACCCACAAGCCCACCACTAGCATGGTTTGAGGAACGATTTCAGCAGAAGTGGCAGAGTGAAACACATTTTCCCTCCTTTTTTTCTTCCTTATTTGTGCCTATATTGTCTGTTGTTTATGGGGGAAAAAAAGATGGATTTCTGAGTGGAGACTAGTTTAGATCAAAGTCAGAGCCTGGTGTTCACAGCAGGCATCACCAAGAGAGCTGTGAGGATGTCCAGGAGCCTAGAGCCGGTGTCAAAGCAGGGGTGCTGGCTGGCTTCGCATGGAGACCAGCCGGAGGTGGCTGTGCACAGCTCAGCTGGAAGGAAGGCCTGTGGCTGTCATTGGAAGATGGTTATGTTAATTAAGTCCTGGTAAATAGCTTGCTTCTTGGGAGGGCTAACGAGGAAAGTGTCACATTTCATACATTTTTGTTGCAAACGAAATATTGGGGGAGGAGGGGGAGGCTACACAAATGGATAGTCACTGCCCAGACCTCTGGAAGCCAAGATAGGCATCCCTAAACACAAGTGGGTGCCACTCGCCAGGGTGTGCAAAAACGAACCCACACCCAGAACAGAACAGAGGGCGATACCCCTCCCCCCACCCCCACCCCCAAAAAAAAGCCATACATGGGAGTCAGCCTTTTTTTTTTTTTTCTTTTTAGTAGTAGAATGCCGCATTTGTGGAAGCTGATGGCTGATCTTTCCTTTGATTGCATGATTGAAATTCTACTTATCAATTTTTCAGGAAGCCATCTAATTATACAAATTAAAATTCAAAGGAAAGCAAAAAGAATGATTACGCCTCACTCGGGGATTGGGGGAGGAGGGTTTGAAACCCGTCTTGCCTCAGATTGTAATGCTGTCATTTTTCATCTCTGAAGTCTTGACAAAAATTAACTAATTAATTCTCTTCCCCCCTTGGATGATGCGGCTGACGTGGAATTTTGGTTTTGCAATAGAGTCAAGGAAGAGCCAGAGAGCAGCTTGGCTGCCAGAGCTTGGGCCTGAGCAAGTGACAGGTGCTGACCTGAGCGTCTCTGGTCTGCCTCACCTAGATCCACTTATGGGTCGGGGGTGGACAAAAGCTCAAATTGACAGGTTTTGCTCCTCCCCACCCCCCTCCAATAACTCTCAAGTTGTCTACAGCTACGGGCTCTTCTTTTGTGTGGTTGCCTTTCAAAAAGCCCAGCACTGGCCAGGCACAGACCTCATGCCTGTAATCCCAGCACTTTGGGAGGATGACGTGGGTGGATCACTTGAGCTCAGGAGTTTGAGACCAGCCTGGGCAACAGGAATACAAGAGATGGCAAAACCCCATCTCTCCAAAAAATACAAAAATTAGCCAGGTATGTTGGTGGTACCAGCTATTAGGGAGGCTGAGGTGGGAGGATTGCTTGAGGCTGGGAGGTTGAGACTACAGAGAGTCTGAGCGGTGCCCCTGCATTCTAGCCTGCATGAAGGGAGCAGACCCTGTCTCCCCAAAAATAAAAAAGCCAGCACTGGCAAAACCAATGTTTAAGGTATGTCCACATTGACCTGATCGAGGGTAACACCCCATACATTCTAAGATGGCCTTCATCTCCTGCCTGATGTATATGGTCATTCCATGTTTTGGGGGAACTTCCCAGTCTTTGAAAGAGTTGGTATCTCTGGGATGTTACATTAATTATTTATGTGATTGGAAATTGTGCTTTTTCCTAGCTCTTTTATTGAAGATCGCATAATTATCGCCATAAATCTTTAGGATGCCGTTTCAGGCTCGTTGCTGGGAAATTAGCCATTAACTTACAGAAACCTGGTAGACCTGCAGTCCGACCTTCTGATAAAGTAACTCTTAACGTTTTGCATAACTGATGCCCGTACATCATCCTCATTTCCACCTCTTGGGCCTCACTTTTGTCTCCCATCCCTCCTCTTTCTTTTGGCTAGATTACTGAGAACCACTTTCTCTCTGTGTGTGTATATATGGTGGCTGTGATGTTCTTAAAATTAGACTGATTTGATTGTATTCCTTGATAAAAACAATACAGAAGACAGTAGAGTGGGTCTCACATGTTGTGTTTCCTAACTGAGATTCTTCAAGCCTTATTTTTTTTGACAGAGTCTTGATCTGTAGCCAGGCTGGAGTGCAGTGGTGTGACCTCAACTCACTGCAGCCTCCACTTCCCAGATTCAAATGATGCTCCTGCCTCAGCCTCCCGAGTAGTTGAGACTAGAGATGGAGTTTCACCATGTTGGCCAGTCTAGTCTCACACTCCTGACCTCCGGTGATCTGCCCCCCGCAATCTCCCAAAGTGCTGGGATTACAGGCGTGAGCCACTGCACCTGGCCAAGATTCATTAAGCCTCCTTTAATCGATGGAAAGAATGCAGTTTCAGTGCAGTGACACAAAAGCTGAGATACTGGGGACAGAATTAGTGATCTGGACCTTACCTGGCACGTTGGTGACGAGGCTTCCAAAGTGCTCAGATCCTGACCCTTCCAGAAGGAGGATGGGCAGCAGCTCCTCTTCCCTAGGCCACAGTCGGGATTCCCTCTTGAGAATCCCACATACCCCAAACCGCATGGGAGACCCTATCTTGCCTCCTCCATCTGCCTAGCCTCTGCCTGAGACGTCATGGGGATGCTTAGACGCTCACGCTAAGAAGTACTTCAGCGGTTATAGCTGCGACCAAGTGTCAAGGGCCCCCTGCCCTTGCTGGTGCTAACCGAAGTTCTCTCCAGCTGCAAGGAAGATTCAGGAAGGTGACGCTGGACAAACATTGGTTAGAGACTGCTGGGGCTCCTCACCCACGTACTCTAGTGATAGGGTCAGGGTTTTGTGTTGTGCTGAGCTGTGGCCTTGCCCCCGACCCCTGCATGGCTGTTCTGGAAAGCATGTTGTAACTCCCTTGGCAGAGCTCCTCGTGTCACCACAGTGGGCGTCTGCATCTCAGTGCGCGTGCGTCTGGGGCCTGCCCCTGTCACTCAGCACCCTTCGTGTGATTCACAGAAACGAGGGCAGGTCCAGCTGGCTATCACTTGATCTCTGGCCCTGGAACAGAATTTAGTACACTTCAAATTGGTCAGTAAATTGGCCGTATAGCCCTGAAGTTAAAAGCAAGAGATCTCTTGGAATTTGCTGCTTTCAGAAATAACTGATGATTGTCTCGTGTGCATTCACTTGCTTCCTACGATGAGGGAAGAAGCAGGAGACGGCTGAGATGGGCTTGCGGCAACCTCCAGTCCCAGTGTTGAGGAAGAGAGCAAGTCCCGTGTGCCCAGATGGCAGGTTCCCATAGAGAAAGTAGCAGTTAAGTGCCCAGTGAGCTGTTGTCCTGTGCCCAGAGGGTCTCCAGAGAATAAGGACTCTTTTCTCCTCGTTTCAGGGTTCATAGCGGCGTCATGCACGCAGACTCCTGCAAGTTCCCCTAAGTTCTTAGAGGACTGCTTTGCCTTTTGATCTGAGAGTTGCAAAGTTCCATAAAGAATGGCCCTTGTGGATAAGCACAAAGTCAAGAGACAGCGATTGGACAGAATTTGTGAAGGTAAGAGCATTTGGCGGTTTCTACTGAACACACGTGGTCCTCGCTCGCTCATCCTCAGGGGCTGCTCCCTGAGTGGCACTGCCACCCTCAAACCAGAGCCCCTCCTCCGATTCCAGCACTGCGCAGCGCTGGCCCCCACTGCTGGGTGTCCTTGGCCTTGGGCCTGGCCTTCGAGTGGGACGAGGCCTGGCTTCTGGGGTTGGGTGGAGACTAGGAGCCCAGTTTCAGGGCTGTGGTCATGGCCCTGAGGTCCCTGTCTTCCGTGTACCTGAGGTTATTTTGCATATGAAAAATGATGCTGATTAGGATCCTCTCTTTTTCACTTCCTGAAATCTCAGGACCTTATCTGTTTTTGGATTAAGAGATTTTCAAGGATGAATTCCATGATATTCCTGAAGAACCCAGCGTTGCCCCTTGTGGTGTGTTCACATCCCTGGTATCTTTGGAAATGTCTGGAAGTGTTCTATTCATGAAAGGAAAATAAACATAGTTAAAATCTAATGGAAACCCGGGGACACATCTGACGTGTTGATGAAGCACTGTGCTCTCCCAGCTGGCGTGTAGTAAGAAACCAACATGTGAATTTGGGTTCGGGGTCAGTGCTACAGGGCTGCTGGGTGACCGCTGGTACCTCCCTGCAGGGTGGCTCTCAGAGGGAACCAGAGGTGGCCCACAGCCCCCTGTCTGTGCCCTCCTGCACAAGCAGCAGCTGACCCGCCAGTTCACAGACAGGCGTATGTGACTCACAGGCCTTCCCCTGCAGCTGCCCATATGTAATTGTCTGACCTATAAGTAGATGTGACGCTAGCCATACAGTGTGGGGACATAAAGGCGTTCTGCTGAGTGACTCAGTGCCCCCCCGCCCCCCGAACTCTGTGCTGCTAGATCACAAAAGCACTGACATTCCTGGGGTTCAATATAAGGAGTTTGGCATTAAAGGGGTTTTTGAAAGTAAACAAACTACAGAGAGGCTGGTAGGACGGCACAGTGAAACACCCCTCTTCCATTCCATTTTCCAGTTGATACGATTTCTTTAGGGGGAGATAGAGGTATACATATAAATGGACGCGTGTGTGAGTGGATGATGGAATTTTTTCCAGAACCATCTGAAAAAATGCAGAGGCAGGCTGGGCACGGTGGCTCACGCCTGTAATCCCAGCACTTCGGGAGGCCGAGGCGGGCAGATCACGAGGTCAAGAGATCGAGACCATCCTGGCCAACATGGCGAAACCCCTTCTCTACTAAAATTACACAAATTAGCTGGGCATGGTGGCATGCGCCTGTAGTCCCAGCTACTTGGGAGGCTAAGGCGGGAGAATCGCTTGCACCCGGGAGGTGGAGGTTGCAGTGAGCTGAGATGGGGCCACTGCCCTCCAGCCTGGCGCCTGGCAACAAAACAAGACTGTCTCAAAAAAAAAAAAAAAAAAAAAAAAAAAAATGCAGAGGCAGCAGTTTATTCTGGAGTACCTGTGGCATGTGTCACCTTTTATCCAACATCCTACATGCTCACAATGCCAGAATCAACCCAGGAATTTAACCTCACTACAGGATTGTCCAGTAGGGGCTGCATGTTCGCATTTCCCCACGTCTTTGCCTGTGCAACAGGCCGGGGTCACACATGGTGTTCAGTTCAGTTGTTGTATCTTTCTAGTCTCCTTAATCTAAAATATTCCCCTGGCCTGTGTGAGGTTTTTTGCTGTTTTTTGTTTTTTTGAGATGGAGTCTCACTGTCACCAGGCTGGAGTGCAGTGCCACGATCTTGGCTCCCTGTACCCTCCACCTCCCGGATTCAAGTGATTCTCCTGCTTCAGCCTTCCGGGCACCTGGGATTACAGGCGCCCACCACCACACCCAGCTATTTTCTGTATTTTTAGTAGAGACAAGGTTTCGCCATGTTGGCCAGGATGGTCTTGATCTCTTGGCCTTGTGATCTGCCTGCCTCAGCCTCCCAAAGTGCTGGGATTACAGGTGTGAGCCACTGAGCCCGGCTGACTTTCAAGGACATTGGACATACTGAAGAGCCCAGGCCCCATTGATTTGTCGAATATTCCACAATATGGGTTCACTAGATTGAATGGGGAGTTGTAAAATTTACTCTTCCAGTGTAAAGGTGCTTGATTGTGGTTACGGAGTACTTGCTTCTAGAAAGCCCTCGTGACTCAGCTTTCCAAGGTTAGTAGCAGGAATGCCTCTGGGGCTGATTCCACCCCCTTCCCCTGGGATTCTCCAGGGGTGTTGCATCAGAGACCAGAATGGAATTGAAGAGACAGTAGTGTTTCCTGTCTGCATTTCCAGGGTTGTATAAATCTGACTTGGGCAAAGCCGTTGTCACTTGCAGCCCCTCTGTCCCATCCAGGCAGGTGTTGGTGAAGGGTGGTTCACCAGCCTTCCCACCTCATTCATGTGTAATAGGAAATGTTCAGTCAATTTTTTCCAACAGAAGTGTGTGTCGCCTGGTATGTTCCAGATCCACCTGCAGAGTTGTCACCATGATCAACACAGACAGGCGTGTGGGTCACCTGTGTGTCAGCTCCTGGGGCATCTCATGATGTACTAACAGTTGGTTCGAGGTACTTTGTTGGTGCTCCTCCCATGTATAAGCTGACTCAGTCCTTGTGGCACCTGTTACGGGTGAGATTGGGTGGCACCCATTTCACAGATGCTGCCAGAGAGGTGCTGAGCAGTGGACAGTTCGCACCCGGGAACCTGGGCAGTCCGTTTTGTTTTTTCTGTTTGTCCTTCTCTCATATCAGCTCCTTGGACTCAGCTCTTTATTCCACCTGAGAGCCTTAAACATCTAACACACACACACACACACACACACACACACTCTCTCTCTCTCTCTCTCTCTCTCCCTCTCTCCCTCCCTCTAGCTTTGAATTTTCACCATGTCTCTATCCTTTCAACCTGAACTACTTGTAGAATGTTCTGTATTGACACACACAGAGCCTGTCAGACTATTTGTTCTCCCTCCCCACTGCCTACCCCTAACCCAAGGATTTCTTTGCATCCCTTAAATTTATTTTCTTTCTAAATGATTCAAAGCATGAAGCTGCCATGTTCTGCTGTGGTTACCCGGCTGCTTCCAGGCTTGTAGGAATTTTGTCTTCTGGCTGTCCGTGTCTGGAACTCCTTCACATTCATTCCCTCCCACCTGCTGCACAACCCCAATATGAGGTCCTGGTCATGGGGCCCCAGGCTGGAATCAGGCAGGCCTCTCCAGGGTCCCACTCCAGGTACTCCGGTGGAATCTGAGCATCATCCCTGCACAGACAATTCTAGAACCTTTCCCTGCCTTCTGAGGCCTGTCCAGCCCCTTCCTCCTTGAAACTTTCAAAGCAAGAAAAAGTGGCATGAAGCTACCGTGGGAATTCACCCCGCCAGGCTCTGTTTCTACTTGGAGAGCAGGAGATGTCTGGTCTTTGGGACTCCAGCCAAATCAGTTAGAATAATGGTCTCTCTAGCTGATGTAAAAGCCAGATTTTAATTTTTTTAATGTAACTCTTTGAGTTTGATATTTATAATTTGTTCTTTTTCTGATGCCTTACTATCAAAACCGTCCTAGAATACCATGTCAGAGTGATTATGAAGGAGCCCTCTCATAAGGCAGGCTGATCAGAATAAGGTGGTGGTCTCCCCATTTTCAAGTATAACTTAGATTTTCCTATAGTTTCGTTTGCTGACGTAATCGATGTAAACTGCAACAGCCAGAGGGTGTTAGTACCTGCCTTACTGCCTTATGCCACAGCTCGCTGGGCTGCCCCAGACATTTGTTGGTTGGAAATGAGGGCTAGCTCAAAACCATTTAGCGTTGCAGAGGAAACGCGGAAGAGCTTCTTGAAGTGCCCTGGGTTCGTAGAACTTAATAAACCACAATGGCTGTTGGTGGTGACTTTTCGTTGGAGGAGCTTCTTGTGGGTTATGGTAGAATCAGTCCGTAAACACCCTCCTTTCCTGTGCCCATTGAGATTGCAAATTGAAAAAAAGTACGTTTCATTTTACTGCATTTTGTTCCAATGTGTTGGAGACATGGAAAGTGGATCCGAGGATGATAGCAGCTGAGCTGTGATTAGTCCTCTTGTAACGTGGCTCAGGGAGGGTTCTTCTCTGTTTCCTCTGCGAAGATATTAGGTACCTCCTCTTAAATAAACAATTTCATAAAACAGTCCTCACCTCTGGAATGTTCTCACGACCACAGAGAATGAAAGGAAGGAGGAGGATAAGCTGGTTGGATGGATGTTGGGGAAGGAAACAAGCTGGTTTCTGTCAAGCATATAGACAGACATTCCGGGAATCTCTTTGCGCACCATGCTCGTCACAGAGGACGGGAAGTCGGAGAAGATGCCAGGGATGAGGTGGGAGGGAGCTTCTGCAGTGGCTTCTGTGTCACGGACTCTTCTGCTCTTCTCAGGGGGTTGAACTTGCCATTGTGGAAGCACACCTCAGTGGAACGTGCCCCCAGGAACGTTCATTCGTGATCCCAGCACGTGTAAGGAACAAAGACAGGCGCCTCCAGGTCACCAAGTTGCCAAAGTCCAGGCAGGACTGGCTGGAGGGTGTAGGGAGGATGCCCACCAGAGCCTCCGGGCTGGGCGCTGACTTTCTCTTTCCACAGAGTATTGACAAATTGTTGTCCTTGGTGTTTGAGATTGTCTTTGTTTTTGTTCTGGGCAGCTGTTTGGTTTCACCTGTCTTTGTAAAAGTGCCTTCTAAACTCAGGACGTGTTTTGTTTTTGTTTTTTAAAGCACTTTGAGCACTTCGTAAAGAAGCCTCCTATAGGAAGCCCACAGACAGCTCTTTAAATAACTTTAAATAGCCCCAAAATGTGGATTTTTAAAATGAGATTTATAATGTTGCTATACATTATAATTATATGTTGGAATCAGGTAATTATGCACATTTCCAGCAATTATGTGATTAGCTATAATTACATTAGCTATGTAAATATACAATAGTTAACTTGACGTGCCTTAAAACTCCAAAGCACAAATGAACATAC